ATGCTGGGTTTTTTTTTAGTTGGTAGGCTATTAATTACTGCCTCAAGTTCAGAACTTGTTAGAAAACCTAGGCAATACCATTCAGGACATAGGCCTGTGCAAACATTTCATGCTGAAAACACCAAAAGCAATTTCAACTAAAGCCAAAGCTGAAAAATGGGATCTAATTAAACTAAAGGGCTTCTGCACAGCAAAAGAAACTAGCATCGCAGTGAACACGCAACCTACAGAATGAGAGGTTTGCAATCTACCCATCTGACAAAGTTCTAGCATCCAAAATCTACAAGGAACTAAACAAATGTACAAGAACAAACAAACAACCTGATCAAAAAGTGGACAAAGGATAAGAACAGACACTTCTCAAAATAAGACATTTATGCAGTCAACAAACATACGAAAAAAACTCATCATCACTGATCATAAGAGAAATGCAAATCAAAACCACACTGAGATCTCACATCAGTCAGAATAGTGATTATTAAAGCCATCTCATGCCAGTCAGAAAGGTGATTATTAAAACAAAGGATGCTGGTGAGGCTGTGAAGAAATAGGAATGCATTTACACTGTTGGTGAGAGTATAAATTAGTTCTATTATGGAAGACAGTGTGGCAATTCTTCGAGGATCTAGAACCAGAAATGCCATTTCACCCAGCAATCCCATTACTCGGTATATACCAAAAAGATTATAAATCATTGTACTATAAAGACACATGTACGCATATGTTTACTGCAGCACTATTTACAATAGCAAAGACTTGTAACCAACCCAAATGCCCATCAATGATAGACTAGAGAAAGAAAATGTTGCACATATGCACCATGGAATACTATGCAGCCACAAAAAGAATGAGATCATGTTTCTTGCAGGGAGCATGGATGAAGCTGGAAACCATCATTCTCAGCAAACTAACACAGGAACAGAAAAGCAAACTCTCACTCATAAGTGGGAGTTGAACAATGAGAACATATGGACACAGTGAGGGGAACAACAGACACTGGGGTCTTTTGAGGGTGGGTGGTAAAGAGTAGTGAGAGTATTAGGATAAATACCAAATGTATGCCAGGCTTAAAACCTAGATGATGGGTTGATAGGTGCTGCAAACCACCATGGCGCATGTACACCTATATAACAAACCTGCATATTCTGCACATGTATCCCAGAACTTGAAGTAAAATAATAACAACAGAAAAAGAACTCACCTGGGGCCAGAGTGCTGTGTATGAGTAGGCAGGGAGGTGAAACAGATGTTTCAGATAAACAGCATGCCCAGTATACCAGACAGAAGATTCTGGGGGAATACTAATCTTTGAGTGGCAGAGAGAAGAGAACAGACCATGAAATAGGGAGTGATCTCAAACTCTAATGCCTTCAGGAGCCATGCAGGCACCATAAGCCTGTGAAGCAATCCTAGGTGGGAGACAGTTGTGACAACTGTTTTGGCCTAAAGAATTTAGCAATATGCCTAACAACATTTAGAATTGTTAAAAAATACTTTACGGGCACAATAAAGCACATCACCAAAAAACACTTTGCAGGCAAAAATAAAACACATATGAGGAGGCAAACAAAGCCCAAGGACCATCAATATGCAATGCTGAGCTTCAAGAAAAGCAGGGAGTAGGCTTGGAATGAGAAAAAAATCAATAGAGTGTGGTTTCCTATAAGTAAACAGAAAAAAAAAGGTTTTACCTTATATTTCCATGAACTTAACTTAGAAAACAACATGTTTCACTAGATAGTCACATTGTAATACTAATAACAAAAACAACCCACTATTTGTTACAGAACTTGTAAAATCTGAAGATCGTGGTAATGATCAAATGGGTCAAATATACAGTGACCAATGTAGACATCCTCTTGAAGAACTGTGGCCAACTGCTCAGAGCTTGAGTGGATCCAGGGGTAGGAAGCTCACCCCCTTATAAGGCACTCTAAGTGTTCAGAAGTTTTCCTCACTTTGACCTGTTATTATGTAGAGCTGATGATACCTGCCATCTTGTAGTCTGATAATCTCAAATTTGTCCTCTGGAGCCACATAGAATGTATTTAATACCTTTCCACTCCCAGCCCTTCAGATATTTGGAAACAGTGACTCTGTACTATCTCCCTTCCACAAGTCTTCCTTTTTCCAGACAAAATACTCCTACCATCAACTATTCCCAAAATCTGTTTTCAGACCCAAACACCCTTCTTAACCTTCTTATTTGTCACTAGCCATGTTAAAACAATGCCCAGAAAGAACACAATGTTCCTAGACAATTTATACTCTGGGGCTTTTTTAGGCATAATTTTCTATGTCTGCAGCCATAGGAATACAATTACATTTTATGGAGCTCAGCCCCTGCTGTTCCTGTTTCCTACCTCCTGCCCCCAAGGCAGTCTGTTTGTTGATCATCCTGAACAGATGCATAATCTAGAGCGAGTGCTCCCATCAACATAAAGAATGCCATCCCTCATCACTCCATCACTTCTGATTAAGATCACTTGGTCTAATGTACATTAAGGTCTATACCAATAATCCCTGTGCAGTGCTGCATGCTTTTCATGCCTCTTTTGAACACTGTGTTATTAGATACTCAGCCTGGAGAAGCATTTCCATATAAAGAAGAAGATGAAACTGAGAAGGAATGGTTAAAGGAAACAGGAAAATTGGGAATCTCACTCTTGGAAAGAATGGTAGATGGGAACATCCAATGACCTGGCTTTGAATCTGGTTTTCTATTTGCTCACCCTTGCTGCTTTGTTTAAAAGAAACAAAACTGTAATAATAACAGTAAGAAGAGAAACCCCTACCTATTAAGAAATTCTTAGTAAGTACCAAGCCCTGAAATAAGCCCTTCAGGCTTCAATATCATATGGTTAGTATATGCCACTGGGATTTGAACTTAACTTCTGCCCATTTCCAGACTTCAATCTCTACCCAGTCTTGTACCACAATCTCCCTTAGTGAATACTGTCTATACTACATATGACTCATACCACTGATTAAAAAAAAAAAAAAAACTCTTACAGTAATTACTTCTCCTGAGATGATCCTCCAAAATGTGGGAAGTAGGAACATGTGTTTCCTTCTTATCTGTGGGGCCATCAGAGCATGCAGACAAGGGCAAAAGAATAAGAGAGGAGACAGGGCATATACCAACTACAGCACTGGACACTGTGTCTTGAACTGGGCTGAAATGTCACCCTGAAGCTTCTGTCTCAATCCCATTTAGAACAACAACAAGATTTCAAGGTGAGTGTTCAGCCTACAGTGTTTTCAAGCACTTTTAAATCTACTTTAGCAGTATTTACTAGTATATAATTCAGGTGCTAATTTATTCATTAAAACAGCCTGTATTTGGCAACATTTTATTAATCTTAGTCTATGCTAGTGAGATTGGTATTTGTATTTTAATTGCATGTCTTTTATAATTACTCTATAATTCTGATTTTCTTACAATGTGAACTAAGCCCTTATCAATCCACAAACTGTATCCCATATCCAGTGAAAATGAATTCAAATTATAGTATTATAGAATATGACTTTGGAAAACCCAGACAACCTATTTCCTAAGGTAGTTTTGCATCCGAGTCTCCTGGAGATTTCCTTATACAATGACTGATTCCTCAGTGCTGTGCAATCTACTTGATCAGGATCTCCAGGGATGTGACCTCCTGGGAATTGATATCTGCAGCAACTGATCCACAAATCAGCACTTAGGTACTGATGACTAGACTATTTCCAATCTACACACATCCAATACAGCTCTTGAAAACACAGGAAGTACAGGATAGTAAGGCTATCCTAAAGTCAGAATGACCAGCCACCTCACAGAACCCAGTGCATCCCAGAAACATTAATTGTAAGTTCCAGTATTAACTGCTGACCTCCTGTTCTTTATTTTCAGGGTTTGAGTTGCCATTTTAATGCCTTCCTGCAAAGAAGCCCTATAGACACACACGCGAAAAGATGCGTAGGTTTTAACTGGTCCCTGGAAAGCAGGTAGAGATAATCATGTGGTTTATTTGACAGAGCCACATGATAAACGACGGAGATAAGCAATGTGTCTTAAAAAGCATTCTCAAAGGTTTAGAACAGGAGTGTCAAATAGACAGCAACTATGGTACGTCCCTCCTATCTGATGCCCTTGGCAGGCACTGCTAATCAATCATGGCACTTTTCATTGTTTCGTCCAGAAACAGCCTCAAAGTCCTTTTAACCAATCACTCCAGGGCACTAGTGCTATCGAATTTGCTCTACCATACGGAGGACTTACTTTCCGCTCCTTGGCTAGAATAAATACGGACATTGAAATCACCTTATATTTTATGTCAACCTGATACATCACAGGCTCTATGCTCCACATGGTGGAAATGGGCATCTGGAGGTTCTCACGTAGACATCCGCTTTGAGAGCGGATCACCTGGCTCTTGTTGATTCATGTTTGTAGCGGTTTTACACTTGTATCTTTGAATGGGAGTACTCAGAAATAAAGTAACTGCTATCATATTTATGATATATGAGTTTCACCTATTTATTCTAACCAACCTAGTTTTGCTCATGATAATTCAAAGTTTCACTCTGAATAAATGCTGCTGGGAAAGACAAGGTGAGTTCCGAAGGATTTTGAAAATTAAGTATAGAATTTGACTATAAGAATCATATATCAATCTACTTGACTTCTACTGGCAGCCCTGCAGGTTTCTTCTATGGAGATTCTGGACCATATCTCCATGCAAATACTTACTGTCCCAGGTAAATGACAGGATAGAAATCACAAGGACATTTGGTTTCTGCTGGTTTTCATTTGAAAAAGAGAATCATTATAATTAACTTACTCTTGGGTTCCCGTGATGGCCATTCCTGACTCTTGGCCTCTACTGCCACTTTCTAAGACAGACTAAATATAATCCCATTTCAGACCATATCTAGGGTATTCATTGATTTATTAGGCTGATGTCATCACACCAACAGTCCCCGTAATCAAACAATAAGATCAGAGAGCGCAGACCTACCTCATCATAGATGCTGTCATTCCTGTGAAAGTCTCCAGCCTTCCTGGGAAGAACGTGGACATGAACGTGCTGAAAATATACAAGAAAGAAAAAAGTAAAATGTGATTATCTCTCCATATATTTTTAGACTTGACAGTGATGCTCTCATGAAGCCCAATTACTCTGGATGGTTCCTGCTGGATTATTTTTCAGAGGAAATTGATATTCACCATCAGTAACTATACGTGAAATCTGCCGAGAAGAGAGTGCACTAAGCAAGAGAGAACAACTTGGTGGTATATATGAGAGATGGAGTGAAACGCTAGAGTGTTTTAGAGGCTCTATGGAATTATTCATCGTTGTCAGTCTTGGTTGTGTTTAACCAGTGCTTTGAAATGACAGCACATCTTCAAGGGTGACCATCATGACTCTGACACTGACAAGAAATAAGAATTGGCTAACAGAGAACTGTGTACGTAAAGAGTTAATGAATGAGAGTACCAAGTAGTACAGGCAGAATTACAGACTCAGGGCTTTGAACAATAATTGTATCCTAGTAATATAAACAGTTCTCATTTATTATGCCTTTATTTCCTATGATAAGGAAAGCTCTGTATTTGGCATTCTGTCATTTAGCACTCTTAAAAATCCTGTGAGGCTATTTTACAAAAGAGGAAGTCAGCGTTCAGTGAGGCCAGGGCCCCACAGGAAGTAGAAGTCAGTACCAGAAACAAGGCCGCCTGCCTTTTGCTCCCACGTGTTTCATCAGCACGTGCACTGACTGTGCAAACTTCATCTTTTAAACAGCCCATTTCTGTAGTCTACTAATGCACCCTGGTAATATACATAGCAATGCTATTAGGCAGCAATCGTGAAACAAGGCTCAGACCATATCTAATTCAATATATTCTTCAAGGCTAAACTACCATTTGAAAGTTTTATTTTCCAAATAGCCTCCACTCCACCTTGGCTGAAGTTAAACCTCATTCCTGCCCTTGAGCTATGTTCTACTTTTATTACAAACCATGGGGAGGAACGTGAAAATGAAAAGCTTAAATATAGAGAGGCAGACAGAGGGTCAAACCTCATCCCTGACCACCCACCCCTTCTTGATTACTGAGATCAGGCTCCGAGGTTCCAAAAGGCCTCTAGAGAATATAAGATTAAGTGTCCCTGCAGCTTTGCTATACAAGGAGGGGGAAAATGACACGCTATTAAAGCAGAGGCAGGGTGTAATGCGGTGCAAGGTGAATGAAGCAGAGAAGAGCTTCAAAGCAGACCCTGAGCATAGTACCCAAAGAGTGACAGGCTTCTGCCAAAATATGCACCAGTCAATGATAAAGCCAGTCATGGATCTCTTAGCAACTGGGCCAAGTGTGTACTTAAGTCACACAGACTATGTGAGCATGGAAAGAGAAAGAACAAACAAGAAAAAATAAATCACAAACTACCCATGAAACCAAATTCTTAGGAGAAAGCCGGGCAGGTGGGCCCAGGCTGAAATCTACTGAAATCTCTAGATAGGCTGACTTAAAAGCAAAACCAGGAAAATAACACAGCACAAGGATACAGACCACCCTCAGAAGGAACCTTCAATCACTCTTTAATTCTAAAATCTCCTGCTATCCTTTCTTCTTTTCCTCTTTTCCTCCTTTCTTCTTTCTGTCCCTCCTCTTCCTTTCTCCCCCTCTTTCTCCCTCCCATCCATCCATCCATCCATCATCATCTTCTTTATACATTCTAGGAAGTTCCAGACCAGTGTCTTGCAGTCAAATTTCCTAATGCAAATCCTGGACCTACCACAAACTAACTGTGTGACCTTGCCTCACAAAGTCTATGTGTCAGTATCCCTATCTATAATGGGGATTATAATGGTTGCTACCTCACAGGGTTAAAAGAATGAAGTCTGCTAACCATGTGCTTAGTATGCAGCTTTTCATTACCTGGAACTATAGAAGAATTACTTTTACTACCTAAAAACAACAAATTTAAACTTGAAGGCCAAGTAGACGTCACATTCAGGGACGATTTCTGCACCAGCAAAAAAAAAAAGATATTAAGAAGCTCCTTGAATGAGGGCATTGTTCAAGCATCTCTTTAGCAAAAGCTTGTTTCTGTTGATTTGACTAGCCATTCTCAAACTTCCACCTGCACTTGGGGCTTGTTAAAATGCAGACTGCAGGTCTGAAAGTCTGTATTTCTAACAAGCTCCCAGCTGCTGCTGGTCTAATGCCACACTTCGAGAGAACCACTGGCTTACAATATCCATCTGGTTTCTTATCTCACTCCTGCCAAGGGTACCAGTGTGGGCACTGAGGTCACTTGCTGCTTTGCCTGTCCTACTGCATTATGTGTAGACTCTTTCCTTGTCTCTTCTCTCTTTCTTCTTTTCCCTTCTATACTTCCTCTCTTTTTTCTTTTCTTTTCCTCCTTCCTTTCTTCCCTCCTTTTTATTTCTTTTTTTCTTCCTTTCCTTTCCTTCCTCTCTCTCTCTCTCTCCCCACAAAATCTCACTCTATCACCCAGGTTGGAGCGCAGTGATACAATCATAGCTCACTGCAGCCTTCAACTCCCAGGCTCAAGATATCCTCCTGCCTCAGCCTCCCAAATAGCTGGGACTACCGATGCATGCCACCACACCCAGCTAACTTTTTTTCTTCATATTTTTAGGAATGGAGTTCTCGCTGTGTTGCCCAACATGTTCTCAAACTCCTGGCCTCAAGCAATCCTCTCTCCAAGTAGCTGGGATTGCAGGTGTGAGCTACCATGTCCAGTATGTGGAGCCATCTTTCTGAATGCCTCTGGCTTTCTGCACTCTGACCACTCTCCTTGCCTAGTTCTCAGGAACATGCCTGTTACTATCCACTACTAACATATGGTGGGCTGTGACCCTGCACTTGGGAACGTCCAGGCTCCAGGCCTATCCCCCTGCTTCCTTTTCTTTACCCTCCTCTTTTGGGTTTAGTGTTCAGGGCTATCTCTATAGGCTGTATTACCACCAAGTTCTAGAAAAGCCACTCTTGATCACCACTCTTGATCACCACTTAAAATTCACTGTGACACACCGAAGACAGTCAACAGCTGTACAGGTGATTTTTTCCCCAAGGGCATAGATCTTAACCTACCCTAATATCTTGACACGAATTCTTAACTGACAGTCTGATCACAGGATGCTGACAACCCACTCAATTTCTCAGAACAGGGAAATCATAATAAAGCCAGCTCAAAGCCTCATTGCTGTGAAAAAGTACCATTACTAAGGCCTTCTAATAGAATAGCATCCTGATAAAAACCCTACAAATAGCAAAGATGAGGATAATTTGAAATAATCTGTTCTTAGTGCTTCATATTAAGCAGTGGTGATCACAACTTACTTTTCTAAGTGCCAAGAACACAGCTATTTAATAAAGGCCTTCCATAAATTTGCTAGGGGTTGCAGGTTAGCTGCCAGAGTTAGAAGAGTATCTTTGTAAAGTGCCAGGACACATTCCATACCAAAACTATTTTCATGGTCAGATAACATTTCACAATGCTCATTGGCATTAAAGTATGAGAAGTCCCACACAAAAGATGCTTGTTTAACTTCATCTAATCCAACATTCCAGAAACTTATTTGATTATGGAGTCCTGACTTTAATTAATGTAACACTTCTGTACACCTCTCTAAAGCATATATTCATTCACTTAAAAATATCTACTTCTAGGTGCTATTCTAGGAAACAGTGATATAGTCAAGAACAAAACAAAGTCCCTAGAGTTTATATTCCAATGGGTGATGCAGAACATAAGTAAGGAAATAACTAATTATACATTTTAATTTTGGATAGGAATAAACGTCATGAAGAAAAACACAACGGGATAAGGTAAATACCGAGCACCGGGCCACTCCAGCGTTTGAGGTTTGGGAAGAGGAGTAGGACTCGATTGAAGGCTGTATAAGGAAAGGCAAAATCAAGAGACGGTAAGTTCCAACAGCCTAGAGAGAACAAATTTCAAAGAGGGTATCACTAAGGGCGTCAAATGTTTTTGAAAGCTTGAACTGTTTCAGTAAGGCTGGGAGAATAAAATGTAAAATCCCATGAAAAGATGCTCAAAATCATCATCATCATCATCATCATCATCATCATCATCATCATCATTATTTGAGACAGAGTCTCGCTCTGTCACCCAGGCTGGAGTGCAGTGGTGGGATCTTGGTTCGCTGCAACCTTCCCTTCCTGGGTTCAAGCAATTCTCTGCCTCAGCCTCTGGAGTAGCTGTGATTACAAGTGCCCGCCACCACGTCCAGTAATTTTTGTATTTTTAGGGTTTCACCATCTTGACCAGGCTGGTCTTGAACTCCTGACCTTGTAATTCACCCACCTCAGCCTCCCAAAGTGCTGGGATTACAGGTGCCCGACTCTGTGCTGGGCCAATGCTCAACATTATTAGTCATTAGGGAAATGCAAATTAAAACCACGTTAAGTCATCACCTCATACCCACTAGAAAGGCGATAATCAAAAGACACACAATAACAACTGTTGGCTAGAGTGTAGACAGCTGGAACCCTCCTGCGCTACTGGGAATGTAAAATCATGCAGCTACTTTGCAAAACGGCTTGGCAGTTCCTCAAAAAGTTGAACATAGAGTTACCATGTGAGTCAGAATTGTGCTCCTAATACATACCCAAGAGAACTGAAGACATATGTCCACACAAAAACTTGTACATGAATGTTTACAATAACATTATTCATAATCACCAAAAAGTATAAAAAACCCTGATAACTATCAACTGATCAATGGATAAACAAAGTGCAGTGTATCAACACAATTGGATATGATTTGGCCACAAAAAGGAGTGACGTACACTAAGTGAAAGCATTATGCTCAGGGAAATAAGCCAGATGCAAAAGGCCACATATTGTATGATGCCATTTAGATGAAAAAGCCAGACTAGGCTGATTCATAGAGAAAGAAAGGTTAGTGGTTTTGAGGAGAGAAGCAGAGTAACTGCTAATGGGCACAGGGTTTCTTTTGGGTTAATGGATATGTTCTGGAATTATACAGCAGTGACAGTTGCACAACTTTGTGACTATATTAAAACAATGAA